TAGGGGTTCAGATTCATCTTTCTGCAGGTGGATGTCGAGTTTTTCCAGCACCAATTGCTGAAGAGGTTTTCTTTTGCCCACTGGATTGACTGGTACCCCTTGTCAAAAATCAGTTGACTGTATGTTTGGGAATTTATTTCTGGGGACTCTATTCTGTTTTGTTGGTCTACCTGTCTGTTTCTTTGCCAGCACCATGGTGTTTTGATTACCACAGCTTTGTAGTATATTTTTGGGTCTGGGAATGAGATGCCACCTACTCCACTCTTCCCGTGTAGGATAGCTTTGACAATACGATATCTTTTATGATTCCAAACAAATTGTATGATTGTCTTTTCTAGACGGTGAGGAATGTGTCTAGTGCTTTGATTGGGATTGTATTAAATATGTAGATTAATTTGGGTAGAATTGCCATTTTGATTATATTAATTCTTCCAATCCAGGAACATGGAATGTCCTTCCACTTTTTTGTGTTGTTTTCAATTTCTGTTTTTAGCTTCTCATAGCTTTCCTTGTGGAGGCCTTTGGCTTCTTTGGTTATATTTATTCCTAGATATCTTATTTTTTTGTGGCTATGGTAAATGAAATTACTTTATTCAGTTCTATCTCAGCCAGCCTGCTCTTTGTATATAGAAATGTTATAAATTTCTGTATGTTGATTTTGTATCCTGCAACTTTGCTATATTACTTCCAGAAAGTTTTTCATGAATACCATTGGATCTTCAATGTATAAAATCGTGTCATCTGCAAATAGAGTTTCACCTTCTTTTCCTATTTGAATGCCTTTTATTTTATTCTCTTTTGTGATTGCTTTGGTGAGGACTTCCAGTACTATATTGAAAAGGAGTGGAAATAGTGGGCATCCTTGTCTTGTACCAGTTTTTAGTGAAAAAGCATTCAGCTTTTTTCCATTCAGGATGATGTTCCCTATGCGTTTTTCATAGATAGCTTTTAATTATGTTGAGAAATGACCCTTCTATGCCGATATTGCTGAGAGTCTTGATCATGAAGGGATGTTGTATCTTATCAGATGCCTTTTCTGCATCATTCGATATGATCATATGGTTTTTTATCTTTCTTCCTGTTACTATGGTGTATTATATTTATGGTTTTGTGTTTGTTGAACCAACCTTGAATTCCTGAAATAAAGCCTATCTGCTCATGAAGTATAATCTTTTTTATAAATTGTAGGATATGATTTGCTAGTATCTTGTTGACAAACTT